ATCACACCCACTTAAGTACACAGACACAATTCGAGCCTTCTGGGGCTTCGCAGGGTCCGGGCGGCTGTTGCCCAAAGGGCTTAGCAGGGCCCCCCGCCTCTGTGCGACTGGGACGAAGATCTCTTTTGAAAGGCCGCAGTCGTACGGATAAGCTCTAATTGACTCCATGTTTTCAGGTTCCAGGCTACTCTTGTGGTTCCCGACGTCTAGGGTGCCTATAGGGACTAGGCAGCACCAAAGCGGAGGGGTTGCGTCGGTTGCAACGGTCAGTCGTTGACATCTGCTGTTGCTGCAAGATCACTTGTGACATGTGGTTGAAGCTGTGTCTTCACAGACTATCGTGCTGACCAGTACGACGGACTGGCTAACTTGGTGTGTGTGTGTGTGTGTGTGTTCGGAAGTGAAATTCTGCGAGCCTGGCTGCAAACATATTGCCTCGGAACCCATTGGACAGCTGTTTTGCGTCTGGTGGCAATTCGCCGTACCATGCAGAAGTTGCGGGTGTGCAGGTTTTCGAAAATCGGCTTGATGATCGTACCGGTGATGTCTGAATGGTGCTGCCGCTGATGATGATGGTGATGGTGATGGAGTTGGTGGATGTTGATGACGATGTTGCTGCGACTGCTGCTCCTGCTGATGAAGATGGCGATGATGATGATGATGCTTCATCCGCTGAAGCCGACAATGATGATGAACACGACGTTTCTTTTTGAGGTGGTGGTGATGACTAAGACATGAACATGAAGATGTGTATTTTGTTAGCGGTGGTGCTGGTGCTAGCACTGGTGAAGATGATGGTGGTGCTGCTGCTGATGATGATGACGATGAAGATCATGATGGCGATCACGATGACTATGCTGATGATGGCTGATGCTTATGCATATGCAGATGGTGGTGATGATGACGATGGTGATGGTGGCGATGCTGATGATGGCGATCATGATGGTGATGACGATGATGATGATGATGGTGCTGATGACGATGGTGATGGTGAAGAACTCGTGTTGGTTTTGGTGTTGGTGGTGTGGTGTGGTGTGGTGTGGTGGCACCGCATCTGGTGGCGGCGGTGCTTGCGGCGACGGCAGCGGTAGTGTTGGAGCTGCTCATGGCCATCTGCAGCAATGAGTCTAGTCATAGAGTCATAGCGCTACCAACACTTGTGATGCAGGAAACACGGAGCGTTCCCCTTGTGGATATCCTCGCGATACACTTCAGTGGGTCCGATGCGGTGGCTGTAACACCTAGAACTTTGCATGTCGAAGTCGATCCATGTGTAGCAACCCAAGAGCTATTTCTTACCTCGACAGCTTTCGGAGTAGAAGCTGCCCTCGAATCGTAGTCTCTCAGAACCTGAAACTTGCAAGGCCGACGAAGTCCAAGAGCCTGATAGTTCCACCAGGCCGGGCCCCTGGAGTGCATGGGTAAGCAATTTCGGATTTTTGGGGCTTCTAATGCTGAGTATAGTATAGAGTTCTGAAATATGGTATAGTGCAGTGAGAGCAAGGGGTTCTGTTCATTAATATTACCTCACTACAGGAGCATACGTTCGAGATCAGGCCGCGGCAAACCTCTAGAAGCTCCAGGGGACCTAGTGCCCAGATGCTCGCATTGGGATACAGGAATTAACCTCAAAATGGTCCACGCGAGCGGGAGATACTTCAGCCCTTCCTCGTGAAATCATCTTTCGTGTTGCATGCGTCTGGAAGCTGATGGGTCTCCGAGGAGGCACCTCAGCCTTGACAGTCTTGCATCCTGTCGTACTAAGATAGGTACTTACATCGGAACCATTGCTCGCACACCTGGCTCAGTGTGGGCGTGGGGAAGTGTGTTTTGTGGCAGGGGGTCGATGGCTTCGAGTTCATATTGAAACCACATGTCGCAGTTGGCATCCCAGATTGTGCGATCTCTGGCTCTCGTCAGGCTCCGCTTGGTGCTATGGCCGAAGGCCCAGCCAGGCGCAGAGTGCAATGCAGTGTCGATCAGAATGCAGAGGCTGAAGAGTCAGAGTCGTTTCTAAGGTTTTGTGGTTCACTTGCCTTCATCTGTCCGGTCAGCGCAGGTTTTGCTTTCGAAAATCAGTCAGGGACAGACACAATATGATATGAATATCGTAGAATGTCTGTAATAATCCAAACGACCTTGCAATGTATTGTCAAGTCTTCCCGGGGGCTGACCACCGGCTTCGTTTCTTGGCCTGCAGTGACTGACGGCTTGCGGAAACGAACGTTGAGTGGTTCATGCAGGCTTGAAGGAGTTGTAGGAGTTTAGGGTCTGGGGTGTACTCGTAGGGTGTTAAGGGTGCAGAGCGTTGAGGCAACGGGGCGCAATACGGCTTGAGCTTCCAAACATCGGAAGTTTGGAATTTGTTTCGATTCGAGTGTTCAAGGCTTGTCTTACCCGTCACAAACCCAGTGCGTTGGGACTAGCCTATCTTAAATGTTCAAGGACCAAGGCTCCACTTCTCCAGTGTTTATGGTTTTAAGGTTTAGTGAAAAAGTTAAAGGTGGAGGGATGGAGGTAGTTGGAGGAAGGCCTTTCTTGGGATGTTCTTTTGAGGCTCTACACCACAAATTCGCTTTTGGGAGGCAATGAAGCCTCGAGTCGAGAACGCCTCTTGAACTGGTCTGCGGATGCCAGGCTTGGATCCCGCAGAGCACAAATTTACAGTTCTGAAGGTCTTTTAGCAGCTTCATCTGGTCAATCCAATAGTTGGTTTCCGGCTATCTTACCTTTATTCAAACAGCTGGCTACGCAGAGCAGATGAAGACCGCTCCCGCCATCGTTCAGGCATTAGTTCCTGCAGGTTAAACTCCCTACTCAGTGCTTGTTAGACCCCATAACAATAAATCCTACATCTTAACAGCTCAAGCACTGCGAAGCCAGGCGTGAGCTCGGATGCTTGCCGAGACCCGTCCCGAAGGAGGAGGTGGGATCTTTTTTTAGAAGGCTCCGAACTTCGGAATCCCGAAAAGAACCGCAAGCACTGTGGGCATCCTGCCTGGGGGCTCGAGAAGGGTCTCATCACTAAAAACCGTATTTCTTGAGCTTTTTTGGCAGGATATCTTGCTTGCGAGCTGTTTGGCGGGACTGCATTTAGCCTCCTCCTTGTGGGTACAATCCAAGTCTCCAGGAATCCCCAAAGCCCCGAAGCTGCCTACGGCTCAGGCGGATGCCACCCCGCCGCCTGCCAAGCGGAGGTGCATGGGAGCGCACGAGTGAAGTCTCCGCACGGCATGACTAAGGATACCTCGGAGAGCAATTATGTAAAGCTTTTGAGTTGCTTCATTTGGCAGGAAGCAGGTGTCATGAGCATAAGGGTTGAGGACCGAGAGAGGTCACACAAACACTCAGTGCCATCAACAAGTTAGACTGAGACAAGTGTCGGCAACAAACTGCTCTCTACCGGTCTACCGGTTTCCAGGAAAGAACGCATGAAGGGAAGTGGGACTGGAGAAGGGGAAGACTTTCCACGCTGCTGTCCTCCGTCCTTCCTTCCTGCCTTTCTTTGCTCCTTGCTTGCTTCCTTAATTGATGCCTGCCATTCCTTGTCTTCTTCCGTTCGGTCCTTCCTTGCCGGCCTTCCTGCCTCCTTCCGCGAGTCCTGCTACGGTGCGGGATTTGCTTTTTCCTACACCGGCCAAGTTTCGAGAAGCCCACCTAAGACAGCCTGAAGGCGGACAGGTGAAAGAGACTGGAGTTTCTGCTCGGTGCTTCAAGGGATTACTTTGGTCATGAACACAGCTCTGTATAGAGATGAGATCGACTTGCTGTTAGCCGTCTGAGGTGGCTTGCCAACCAGAAGCCCGCCGAACACACGGTTTAGATCTTCCGAGATCCTAAATGCCAGCAGAGTCCAAGCCATACCATTGCCTTACCGTCCCCAATATCAAGATCGTCATGATCTACCCCGCCCCAACCCCATGACAAGTATTGAGGCCCCTAAACCTCAAGAGTACCGAGACCCAAGTCCCTTGCCACTGGTCCCTTCACTCCAGAGCCCCGAATGCAAGGCTCGGAGTAATTGGCCGTTTGAAATAGTATTTATTCTCTTCTCGTCCCCTAATTCCTGGAGCACTACATGCAACTAATCCCTCTTCTATCCTAAATCCAAAAGGGCCCCTTCATATTCCAGCACAGGCGTCGCAGCGTGCGAGTTGCGAGCCGTGACTTGTCGGCTCCGAGTTCATGGGTGGCGCCGGCAAGATCACTTTTCGGTTTCGGTTCCGGCTCAAGACTATATAGAAGCCTGAGTAGTTTCTAATACTATTCCTTTTCAGGGTTCCTTAACCATAGTAGTACGATGAGATACTCCAAAGCCCTATCCTGATCATCACGGCCCTGTTTGGTTTTCTGAGAACTCCGAGTCAATGAATATCCGCAGAAGAGCATGCCGGTCTGTGGTGGCAGACTGTATGAAAATAGGTTGTGATGATGCCACTGCCAGTCGGCACAGCCGTTCTTATGATGAACGCAGACTCTCGGTCCAGCCAGGATTGTAACAAGAGTAAGTGTTTTGGTTTTACAGGTTTTAGGGTTATGATTATGCTGCCATCCTTCTCCCCTGTTACTACATGCCAGTGACACCTGAAACGCCAAAGATCGCCGCAGACAGTTTACGCCAACTATACAGATACCCCTAGCGAAATACGGGCTCACATGAGGGATGGTGGGACCCCGCTGGTAATGAACCACAAAAGGAAGGCTGACTCTGATTCCGCCTGTTATCTTCGGCTCAGGCTCAGAAGCCCTTAGGCTCGAAAGCCAGGCAGAAGCTCCGTAAGCCACCGGGGCACAGACTCTTATCGACAGCAGTAAAAAGCACGCTAACCAACTGCATGGATGGAGGCAGTGGTAGTAGCCAGCAGTTAGTAACCGATGCGCCATGAACCCAGGTTGGCAGCAGCTGTAATAAGCTGGTCACGACTCGGACTTCGCGCTGACAGCCCTGCATCCGCTCTAAACCCTAACCCTCATCCGCTTTGGAGCAGAAGCCATGGCTCATGGTGAAACAACCATGGACCGCGGCGTCGCTCAGCAACATGGGGCATCAGGTAGGCCTGGTCTTTTTGTCAACAGCCGGAGGTCAGACAATTGCGATTGAGCAGTTCAGGAAGTCAGAATCTAGGTTTGTCTTGGCTTTAAACGTAACGTAGAAACACAGGCAACGCAGCGTAGAAACGCAGGAAACCCGGCAGCATCACTGGATATTAAATTGCACAGGTGGCAACAAGCCTAGGGCAACTAAGTCGTCGCAACAGCGACATGAGCAAACGATTCAGTTCGTGACCAAACCAGGCGTATGTTTCACAGCCGTCTCGTAGGTCCAGCGCCTGACCATGCATGAGCCAAACTGGATTTTTTGAAGCACCAGCCGTGTGGTGAGATATCGGAATGCTTGAAAAGACATAACAGGGACTGAGAGCAGAGAGCACAAGCAGACCAAGGAGCAGGCTTTTGGGTTCAGGGCTTAGGAGCCCTCGGATGAGCTTCGGGCCAGCGTTGCCCCCAGGATGTTCGGAACCGAAATGCCGACGGGAGCCCGAGGTTGGTGCATGCTACCGCCCAACACCATGAGCAGGCCGCGAAAGACGAAAGCCCATGTCCGAATATGCTCCCTGGTGTCCGTTTCTTGTTTAAAGAGTTCAATTTTCTTGAGTGAAAGATACCCAACTCTTAACTGCCTAACTTTTGGTCGTAGATCTCCTCCTCCCAAGCAGCTGTAAAGCGAATTGGCATTGACGGGCTACCTGGCTTTAATCTCGTGTGAGTTCGTTGTTGATGGTTGTGCCTTCGCCGTCAGGGTACCCCCGCGACCCTGTTCAGGATTCGGGGCTTCGGGGATTATGGCTGTGATAGCGGGAGCGGCTAGGCTTTCAGGGAGTGTGGATCACAAGTTGGGGGGCCAGTCCAGACCCCACAAGTCACCGGGAATGCTACCCCCTTACACCCGAAACCCCTCATTGATTACTCCTGAAGCCTCCTCTAGAGCCAAAGCCTCCCAAAATTGGGCCCAAGTCGGAGGCAACTGCGAAAAGCTGCGGCTACCTGCTGGCCTCCTGGGGCGCAGGGAGAGTGCCTGCGCACGGTTTGGGGGGTCGACAGCTCCGTACTACGCGGCAGCTTTGCAGCTGTTTCACTTAGAGTCGAAGACGGTGCCCATCTGGCTTCCAGGTCTTGACGGTTCTAGGGCTGGGGTCATCGTTCCAGAGGGAGGGCTGAGGCATTTTGTCAGAGGTTGGGTAGCTGTCCGATTTCAAAGAGGCCGCGGTAATGCGAACCTTGTAGCACCCATCGATTCAGTTCGAAACTTGGCCTGTCATTCAAATCTATGGAAGTTGAAGGTTAAGTTTACCTGTGCGTCCTTTACTCTACAGTTCTGCTTGACGAGTCATCGTCGAAGGTCATAACATGGGCAAACAGCTGCGAGGACTGGGCACCCCAACTGCAAACGGAATTCGTAGAATCCGCGCAACAGGTGTAACACTGCACCCATAGGTGGGTGGAGTAGGGAAACTTGGCGACACTTTCGCAGTCAACCCCCGTAGATTTCTGGATCTTTCGATTGGCACCAGAACTCCGGAATGAAAGCCACGTCACTAATATGTAGGATTCTGGCTGCCACCTGAATACCCATGCAGTCTCAATATAGCCTTCGACTGATATGTCCGGATGCTTTGTTCTGTTGATGATTAAGGACCCATGTTTCTCGTCACAATATGTACTCATTCTCCTGTTGCCGTGTGCTTTGTACATGAATTCCCATCATCACCATCGAAGCAGACTAGAACCGAAGACGTTCAGCATCGATACTGAGAGCCGTGGCCCACGAAGGCGTGGCAAACGGCTGCGCGGATCTTTGCGGATGCTCCGCTTCTTGACCTCGTTGTGCTAGGGCCTAGGGCTCATAATGTTAGTATAGGGGCCTAAATAAATACCAATACTATTCTGGGGGGTTCCTTATTGTAAGTATAGTATAATATCCTAGTATCCTCCAAAACCCTACTCTATTTATTACGCACCCCTACATTGGAGATGACGCTCTCGGCTCTTGCTGGTTTGTTGTGGTTTCTCTGTCTATCAAACCTCAAACCAAAACTGTCCCGACTGAAGCAGGATAAATCCAACACAGTACGATCCTTGTTCACTATAGAGTAAGGACCCTTTAGAACGAGTCTCACATCTTGAGATTCAAGTTGGTGATCAATCTCTTCTTTCGGCGCGAGACTTCCTCAGCACATTTCTTGGGGATTCCGAGTCCGAAAGCGTGGTCCAGCCCTCGAGGGGGCAGGGTCTCACGCTGTCATGAGCTGGCAGACTGTGTGTTCAGGAGTCAAGAGCTCCATACTGTTGATGATATAAATCCTGCATTACTTGTAATAAGGTGTGTATACATATATATATATATATATATATATATATACATACGCACACATACTCTTATTCCCATAGCCTAGGGTCATTAAGGTCGTAATTCGGATTTATTACATCAACCGTAGTGACTGCCACCCTCAACGAGGACACGAGCCCTGGAGGTCAACATCCGACTCTGCAACGCCGCAGCTGGATGCTCAGATTTTAACGAGGGTTCCTTCTATAGACTCAAGAGAAGATGCAGAGCTCGGCTCCATGTAACCTCATGGCTTCAAATGTTCATTCAGGGTCTCTGTTCGGTCTGCCACGGCCCCCTGCTGAGTCGCATATTTCAATCTGCAGCCCTCATCTGCCTAACAGGTGCCCTTTCTCACGTTCAAGTTTCAGCAGGCCACCATGTGTAATGCACCTGTATATCTCGGCTATGTGGGCCGTTTATGCACTTATGATACTCGTGTCCTTCTCTCCGACACTTGTACACACTTGGCACTTGCTCTCAGATCAATGCGTGCAGACATGCGTGGCAGTGCGCCGGCGAACTCCTCCATCGCCGCCCATCCGCAGACTCGAAAGCAGAAGCCTAAGCTAGTATCCCAAATGGTCCAAGTATCATTATGATATATACTTAGACCCCCAAAATACCCTAATATTACATACCATAATGATACTTGGACCCTTTGGGTATCGGGTGGTTTGGAATTAAAGTGCAGAGTTTAGTTTTGCAGCTGCGCCGGAGGACTGATGCAATTAGCTTGTCCAGCTTCTTCACAGAAGAGGTAGCAGCCGAGGGAATGCATGGTCTATCCTTTCTCTTGCTCTGGGTGCAAAACGCGCTCTATCAAGAAGGGCAGAGGGCCTATGTCTGTTTCAGAGTGTCTGCTTGAGGTGCTTCTGCCTGCCGGCTGCAGCACGACACCGTGCCAGGGCCGCACCACATGAGGAGAGGAAGCTTTGACTCGGGCTGAAGACTTCCTTGGTTTTGGAGCTGGTCATCAGTGTGCGTTGTTGTTCCGATAAGGTGAGCCTAGCCTGGCTCAAGTTGTAGATAGCACGTTCAAGCAAAGCTTAGGTTCCATGAGGTTCAAGTTTGTCTCGTCTGGGGTTTCAGACTTTGGTGGTTTCAGCCTGTGTAGTTGCCTCAGCACCCCGAGTCTAAAACCTGAAGGACGCAAGCCCCCGACTTACACTTTCCAGGCTGGAGTCTGGAGGCTGTGAGGTATATATATATATATATATATATCGGTGTGCCAGCATCTTACAGTGTAACACTCAGTGTCTCCACCTCGATTTCGTTGATCAGGTTTCCTTCGGCGCCGTCTCAGCGTCGCTTTGCAAGGGGAGACAGTGGCCGACAGCCTTGGACGCTCGGCGCAGATGGACTCGAAGAGTCAGTGGCAGGGGAACCCTAAAAAGTATGGATCCCGGTAGTCAGTCGGTACTAGCAGGACTCAATAGTACGTTGATCATCGTGCCTTTGTCGGGAGTGGTTTCGCTGCAGCTCCTAAAGGACACGGACGAGATGCATGGAGATGAGGACAATGATGGTGGTGAGAAGTCAAGATGAGTATCACGATGCTGGTGATGTCGGCGATGGAGACCGGAGAGTTGTCACTGACCACCAAGCTGCAGATCCAGGCCCTGCTGGGTTCCAGAACTGGGGCTGTCGCCCTCGGCGCCATCACGGATGCCGCTGCAAAGGTGCATGGTCCAGAAGGGGTTATGCAGAGCTTTCTGTTTTCAGTTTCTGCTGGAGGACCCCTTAAGTTTCGGGATGTTCGGTGTCGGCATCTTCCGGGGGCTTCACTCCGTTTCAGCATACAAGCACATCCTATAAGTCCGATCTGATGAGTCCAGTCCATAGCTTGGGCATTTGCAGAGCAACCTCGCTCAAGCCGTCGGTGTCACATTAAAATGTGACGGCGTGTTGCCTCGCTGCAGATTTCGATGCTTTTCGGATGCTTGCAACAGCTAGAACAGTGGTACCTGCAAGTAGCAGAGGCATATCAACAAAAAGCCCGGAAAGGAATCATTGATCCAGGTCCGTGGCAGCAGCGGAGACAAGCAACAGCAACGAGGTTAGCTATGGGTCGTAGTTGTGACAGCACGAAGTAACAATCGATACCAAGCCCAACCGGATAGAACACTAACCAATCCTCGTGATGATTGTCACGCTTATCCCGGCATTATGCTGCTTGCAACACTTAAAGGAATAACAGGAATGTCACCCTGCAATGCCGTGAACATGGAAACTCGCAGTAGGCATCATCAATACGCAAGAGAAGGCAAGGCAATCCAAAAAGTGTTGCATGACATCAAGACATGATGGTTGCTAGCATACAGCAGAAGCGAACACCCGGTAAGGCGTTTTAGCAGCAGCAATGACATTGCAATTACGAACGATCAGAAGCTGATAGAACGTTCTAGGACAGTGAATAATGCGAAAGTTGCTCATCGCCACCGAGTATGTTTCAACACAGTAGCTGGAGGGACAGCATTGGCAAAAGTACAAGCCCACAGGGCAGTTGATTGAAGGCTATTCAACCAAAGTGAGCAAATAAATTACAATGTGAAGACTCAAGCAGTTTCCCCCATAGCCACATTCCGTTGAATGACCCCGTGGCTTTGTGGTTGTCGGATGCACGTGCGTGCCTTGCGAAGGTGCAAGCATGGCGCACGGCCGTGTCGCAGCTTCAGCGGTGGCATTCCACGCAAGGCCCTTTGCCTACCCGAGTCATGACATCAATTACGGAAGGTTATCAATCCTGCAGCTTTCTTCCCTGGGGTCTACAGCTGGAAGGGTCAGTTAGCAGGAGCCGTAGGAGTAGTCGTTGTCGTGGTCGCGGTCGTAGTCCTGTCGTTGTAGTCGTAGTGGCAGTCGTCGTCTCGTCGTCCTGGTCGTAGTCCTCGTCATAGTCGTAGTAGTCGTAGTAGTTCGTCGTCGTCGTCGTCGTAGTAGTAGTAGTAGTTGTAGTAGGAAGTGGCAGAGCAACACGAGAAACAGCAGCAGCAGCTGAAGCAGCACTACTGCTGCTGCTGCTGCTGCTACTACTGCACTACTACTACTCCTCCTCCTCCTCCTTCTCCTCCTCCTCCTGCTGCTGCTGCTGCTATTACCACTACTACTACTACTACTACGACGACGACCTCGACGAATGTGTAGGTCCACCTCCAGAACGTTTGGTTTCGACTAGATTTCTTCAAGCTCTGAAGTCTTGAGCTAACCTTGAAGACTTCACTGCCTTCCCGAGAGCTGCATTTTAGAACATTTCAGAGCATCGCAAGCTGCCGGTTCTCTGAGCATTCGGGCTCAAAGGCTCTGCTTGCATGATCATCCTCGAGCCCTGAGCAGTGGTAGATCTTGTGTGGGGTAGACCTCTTTTGGGTTATGTATGTGTGCAGGCACCCATGCAAATGCAAACTGGAACATGCATATAGATGTTTGTGCATCTAGTTGTCCGGATGGAAACAGACACGCAATACCACTTTGCAAGTGTATACGTGCGTACCCACATACATACATACATACATACATACACAGATACGTACATACATGTATATTATGTAGGATATATACGGTTTTGTATGTGTATATATATATACATACATACGGTTGATGATACAAATCCTGCATTACCCATAATAAGGAATATACAATAATTCCCATAGTTTTGGGTCCTTAAGGTAATGCAGGATTTATATCATCAACAGTATGTAGACAAATTCTATGCTTTATGAATAAATATGCATGCACATACATTTGTTCAAACATGGAGCGCCCGCAGGGCCTCCCGGTGTGGTTCTCCTCAGCTCTGCGGGAGACGCCCTGCAGCGCTCTCAGGAGTGGAGGAAGGCCTTGAGATGGGGAAAGTTATTAACATGCATTTTGACAGTAATATGAATATGTATCACTATGAACAGTCTTAAAGATGCCATAACAGTTTGAGTTGGGTACACAGTGGGCTGCGGCCACGAGACTTTGGTGCTTTCCTTGCAAGTTCTGTTTGAACCGACTTAGACTGATCCGCGGGCCCTTTGCTTGTCATTGAGTCAGACCAGAGCTCAACTACGGGAAGAAATCGTGCCCCCACATGTGATTTGGGCTTACACCGTTCGGGCAACGTTGGGCCTTGGCGCTCAGAATCTCCGTAAAAGGGCTCCTGAGCTCGCTGGCCTCGTTTCAGAAATTGCATGACTCTGCATGGCCACTAACAATAACAACATGAGCAATATCGTGACGTATGTTCTCCAGCTAAGGCTGTTCGAGGTGACCAAGAGATCTCAAGAGCCCTCCGCATGTAGCTCGTCCGTACTTGAGATTTTAAACAAGCCTCCACTGATGTTGCAAGGCCGTGGAGATACTGTCGCCTTTGGCCGCTCGGCTGTCGGAAGTTCATGTGTCTCCGGGACGGGAGACTCCACAAATATTTTACGCTCAGCTTGCTAGACGCAGAAACTAGCTCTTCTTTATGCCTCGTATGCGTATGCGTATGTCTGTATGTATACAACATATATGTATATATATATATATATGTATATATATATATAGACATTTGTATATACACACATAATAGCATATGAACATATGTGTGCATGTAATCTTATGCATGCATGTAATGTAATGGAATGTAATGCAATGTAATGCATGCAATCTGTCTGTTTGGATGGATGGATGGATGTATATGGACAGAGATCTAGGTTTTTTATCGATCGATCTATCTATGTGTATATATATATATATATAGATCTCTATCTATCTGTCCATACACCTGCATACTTATCGATGTATCTACTCTTGTACCTAACTATACAAGCCACTTCGGCAGATTCCAAGCGGCAGCAGCAGCAGTCCTTCATCCTTGGGCCTCAAGCCCAAGCCCTCGGCCCTAAATTAAAGCAACAAGACCCCAAATGCCAGGCTGCATGATTCGCCAGACCCTGAACTTGCTTGTCTTAGGTGGTGCACAACGGTCCCGCAGATGCTGCTGCCTACGGAGTGCCCCGCATGCCTGGATGTGGAGATATCGGAAGTAGGGTTTAGGGATCGGAGTTGTTGTGCTTTAATAATGTACTTTCAGCATCCTCTCGTTGTTGTTCGTGCCCGTGTCTGTTTCTGGCCATGCCTGCACGCCAGTTTTGCTGTTTGTGGCGATGCATCGCTGCAAGAGGAGTGAGGCGGATTCTGCCTTGACATCACCCGACTCTTAGCTCATCGCACTCTCGATTCCTGTAGACACTGTAGATCCGCCTACAGCAGCAATAACACAATCAGATAGTATCAACTTTAGAACATGCTGGAGATGCTGGAGTTGCAAGTTGCCAAGTCGCGCACACCAGGTGCTGCTGGCAGCGTGCGCCGGGGGCGGGCGTTGGTCAGAGGCGAAGGCAGGACGGGGTTTCGGCCTTGAGGTGCTCTCTCGGATGTTTGAGTGTACGCCGCTGCTGTCTGCTATGCGAAGATGGTCTTTTTTTGATGTGATTGTCCGACGTCCGCTGATGGCCATCATACTCAACTTTCTAGAACAGTCTCTGCGGAGACTCAAAATGGTGAACAGCGTTTGTGATGCACTTCAGATACTTCAGCCAACCCGAAAAACTGGGGTATTCGATTCAATCCGGTTCCCTTCACGGTCCAAATTCCGCTTTTTGTTCTTGCTACTCTTCTGACTGCAGGGTTCCTTATTCTAATTACAATGTATAACCATAAGCTACCCCAAGACCTTGGACGTGTCCGGGTCTCTGGCTCCAGGGGCTCCTCTCAAGTCTCCGGCTGCAGCGCCTCCGCGCCGACGTGGCCGCCTTCGGGGCAGCGGTGCGTAGTGCGAAGGCCGCCCCCCGTTCGCCGTTCTTCGGTGAGACTATACTCCAACCAATTCTAGACACTCACACACACCCACCTCTCCCTCTCTGTCTCTCTCTCTCTCTCTCCCTCTATCTGTTGTTTTCCCCATGTGTGTAGCTTTCGCTGCTATGCCGTATGCAACTTCCCGAGATGCTCAGTTGAGCTCGAAGAGGGGCGGTGGCCGGCCCGATGGAGAAGTGGAGCCAAGAAGACTTGCGGGGACTCTTCAAGGACACGGGCCGCCCTTCTCTGCTGAAAAAGAACCATAGGGGCCGAAATAATTACCTATACTATTTTGGGGGGTTCTTTATTAATTATATTTGTAATATATTGGGCCCCCAAACCCTATTCTAATTATTAAGGCCCCTATATTACCTGGGACAATCTGCATCGATGCTTGCAGTCGCGTCTTGCGGCCCACTTGTGCATGTGAACTGTTTCTACCGGCTGAAGAAGCTGCCTGCGATGAAAACCTGACACCTGACCCGCAAAAGAATCTTGGAGAGGCGAAGCCGGAGGTGGCAGAGACGCTTGCCCTGGAGATGTGGCCCGGCAGGTGAAGAAAGTCAAAGAATAAAAGCCAATTGTAGAGCTTGTCAATACCTGCCGACTCGCACGGACTAGATCTCTTTCAAAGTCAAAGCAAACTGTCAGGGATTGCCCGCCGAAGGGCATGGCCAGTCTTACGTATGTGCCTTCGCCTCTGCCTCGGGGATCGAACCTGAGAGTCTGGGGGAGCTAGAAGAGTGCCACCTGAACAAGGGATTTAGTGGAGCTTCCTTTGGACTCCGACACCCTGACCCTCAATTCTGTACCCTGAGCCCTGTGCCCTACAAAGCCCAGGCGCCAGCGAGGAATGCACCCCTCCGCCGCCTTGCGAAATGCCGTGGCCCTGGGGGCTCGCTGGGACGAGGCTCCTCCTCCACGGGGGAGCTGGCAGTATTATGGTTTAGATAGGTAGTTTCATAGTATATCCTATTATAGTACCTGATTCGTATGATGTTTCATAGTGCTGTAATATAGTAACTATGTTTAGTTATGTGGTATTGTAGCTATGAAGCCCTCCTATATCCTATCCTCACGCTCCTTTGCACTCTGAGTACTTAAAGGATCATGGGACTTAGTAAGTACGGTTATAAGTACCTTAATTGGGGTTATAAGTAATATAAGTATAGTTATCTTAATTATAACCCTACTTACTAAGTCCCATGACCCTTTAAGTACTTGGTCCGCAGGCGCTGCGCCTCTTCGGCTGCTGTGGATCCTACCAGCTCGAGGCAAGTTCGTTCATAGGTTTAGAGGGTGTTTGGCGAATCACATACTATCCTAAATGTTAAGCTACAAAACTACTCTCCTAATCCCGAGTACCTCATTATTGGGTCCTTCGGACCCTTGGGGATACTTATGAATCCGTGAGTTGGGCGACTGGCTCACAATCCCAGGTGGATACCGTTGGCGGCAACATAGCGGCCTCTGCCTGCGCACAGGACCGGGTCCTGGGCCACCGACTGTGAGGATTTCTGCCTCCTGAGGGCTTTTCAGGCAGGGATGTTACGTCCTCTCGAGAGCCGCAAGACCTCGCTTGGTGCCATACTGGGCTGCAGAGGACAGCAGGCCGAGTATCAGCGAATGCTTGGCGATATGTGCACGGGCAGGCAAGAAGCCCAGAAGCTGTACACTTTAAAACGACTAACTAAAGCATACGAGAATGATGGCTCGAAAGGCAAAGGCAACACAGAAGTCAAACGCAGCCAGGAGCATCAGTGGCAACACGCTGCCAGCATTCTCGATCTGGGAGAAGCTTGGGGTTTGCTTCCAGACCCTCGCCTGGCAGAGTTCGGGGTTTTGGGTTGAAGGTAGGGTTTAGCGTTTAGGGCTTAGTCCTGCAAGGGAAATCTAGAGGTGCCTCTCTGATCCACAGCGCACACAGCAATTCCCAAGTCGCGTCCGTAGTCTGGCTGTTGCTTGCCTGCTACTTTGCCTCCTGTCTTTCATCTCTGTGTCTGCAACGCTTTCATAACTCCCCGACCCTAATCTCTAAACCCTCAAGCCGAGACCCTAAACTCTAAACCCTATAGACCTACAGAACCTACAGATTAGAAAGCCTAAGCTTCTTGAGAGGCTCGTAGAAGCGAAGCTGAGGATTCCATGAGCCTTCACGCCCGAATCCAGTCCTTCGGCTGGGGCCTGCGCTGGGAGACGTCCCTCCGACAGCCTCTTGGGAACAAGAATGGCCTAGGGTTTGGGAGTGGCGCTGTTTTTGTGAGGAGTGGGTGAGTGGGATTTTAGGGTGTTGGGCTCTGGTGTCTTTGGGGATCAGGGGTTTTTGTGTCGGGTTTGGGTATTTGGGGAGTTTAGGGTTAACAGGACTACGGCTCAGAGTTATCTGCACGGGCCCCACCTCCAATGATTGAGCTTCTGTTTCGTAACGATGGCTGCCTGTGGGGATGCAGAACAGCCTCAGTGTTTCTTTCGACAGATTGGCAGAGCCCAGTGGGGGAGTTTAGAACTGGCCTGTAGACCCCTTAAAGGAATCCCTTGTAGTACCCATAAACCCCACAAAGGATACCGACCTGGGCATTCGTCACGAGCTCCAACCTCCAGCCCCGAGGCTCCAGAAGTTCTAGAACCCTCAAAAGTGGTGACTGGAGGATGGCTGACGGTCAGCTTGATGAGGGCGCCGCTGCACACTTAGGACTCTCCATGGTCGGCTGAAACCTAGAGTTATGAGATTGGGGGACTGTTGAAGGTTTTGATTTGATCCAAGGAGTTCGCTGTAAGGGTTGGGGTCGGGGGTGCAAAATGCGCTCGAATTGCGGAAGGTATTTTGGCTAAGAGCTTCTGCCTACATGTTTGTGCGAGGGTTTGGAGCTCGATTCCGGGTGGCCTTGGCAGGGCCCCTAACCACTCCCAGATTCTGCAGAGGGCACAAGCCGGAAGCTACAAGATATGCTTCATGCCGCTCAGGGGGCTGGAGGCCTTTAGAGCACAAAATACCAACACACTGTACTCCAAATTTAATGCCAAGATGCCGTGACACCCGAAGATTTTCGGAGGAGCAGCTGCGATCACCGCGTGCGAGCTCGCATTCGCCTGGCCACAGGCGGTCGGGTTGTTGCAGGCTGGCAGCTGTGCCGGGCAAAGTGGTTTCAGCGAGGCATTGACGATATCAAAGTATTGCCCGAAGGCTCTAAGACTAAGGACTCAAACTTTAAGGCTGTTGGATGCTTCGACCTGGTGGTTCAGATTGCTGTGTCAACCTTTCCTTTTGGCTGTTGGTTCAGAGACACCAGCCTGGAATATCACCCTCTTCCTGGTGTTTTGTCATAGGAGACATACAGACACTCTAGGAATCGAAAGCTTTTTCTTGGGTTTCGGAAGTCTTCTGAGCCCCCGCCTTGGTGGGACCAGGACTCTCCAAGTCTGTTTTACCAGGACTGAAGGCCCTAGAGCACGGTGGCCTCAAGCCCGCCGAAGGCGACGCCAGGATGAGACGACAGTCAGAGAACTGCCAAACTCTGCACCTTTACGGGCCCTGGCACCCTAAACTCGACACCTACGGCCTTGGCTGGATCCCGGAACTCGCCAGGTCCCGCTTTTGCGCAGTGCCAGCGCATTCTGCAGTGCAGCGGCTGCCTGCGCTGGTGCGCAGCGGCCAACATAAATCTAGAATCTCCCAGCTTTACGTGTACGCAGTGTGTCTGTGTGTCTATCGAATAAGCCCAGGCTACACAGACGGACAGACAGACAGAGACGGACAGACAGAGACAGAGACAGAGACAGAGACAGACAGACAGAGACGGACAGACACAGACAGAGACAGACAGAAACAGACAGAGACAGACAGACAGAGACAGACAGAGACAGACAGAGACAGACAGAGACTGACAGAGACAGACAGAGACAGACAGACAGAGACAGACAGAGACAGACAGAGACAGACAGAGACAGACAGACAGAGACAGACAGAGACAGACAGAGACAGACAGACAGACAGACAGAGACACACAGAGACAGACAGAGACAGACAGAGACAGACAGAGACAGACAGAGACAGACAGAGACAGACAGAGACAGACAGACAGAGACAGACAGAGACAGACAGAGACAGACAGAGACAGACAGAGACGGACAGACAGACAGACAGACAGACAGACAGACAGACAGACAGACAGAGACGGACACAGACAGACACAGACGGACAGACAGACAGACAGACAGACGGACAGACAGACAGACAGACAGACAGACAGACAGACAGACAGACAGACAGAGACAGACAGACAGACAGACAGACAGACAGACCGACGAAGACGCACATTGTCAGTTGCACAGATATAGGCATATACATTTGTTGTCATTTACATATCTGTATATAATATGTACGTACTTGTGTTTAGTATGGATGTATGTATGTGCGTGTAGGTATGTATGTAGGTGTATATGTGAGTGTGGATGCAGGAGGCATGCATGCATGTATACAGAGAGAAGCAAGGTAGATAAATGGATGACAGCGTGTCCTGGACACTACACCGTGTGCAGATTGCAAACGTGGTAGGCACGGCCTCGTCCGACACTCCCAAAACTGGTCGTGAACGTTCTGCAGAGGACAATGCTACGCGTCTCGGCGAACCTGCGAACATTGCTGCAACTGGTCAACACAAACGCTCCATCTGAACTTGAGAAGCATGCGAGAAGCAGGCGACCCAAACGAAGCAGAAACTCCTCCAGCCCGCCAAGCCTAAAGGCCCAAAGGGCACCCTTGCCGGAGGCACTGTCGCTTGGAGCTCCGCGTTGGCAGTCTCTGCACACCTCCGTCATTGTGGGATGCAAGAGGCCGCCCAATTAAGAAGGCTTATAAGGGCTGGTAAGGAGGGCTAGTGAGGATTGAAATCCCCATGAAAGGGGTGCAGCAACAATGTCACTGCTCAAGGTCTGCCAAGGCTTGGCTAAAGTAGGGAAGTTGTAGCCTACGAGTGTTGCAGAGCAGAATCTAGCAGTACATGTCCCTGAAGCACGTACATACATACATACATATACATACGTACATGCATACCTGCATACCTGCATACATACGTATACATACACGTTTTACATATACATAGATAAATATAACTATATATATATATACACATACATACATACATACATATATACATATATACATATATACATATATACATATATACATATATACATATATACATATATATATATATATATATATACGTACACACACACGCGTATATGCACACGTGTGTATACGTACACATATACGTATACATAATAAGTACATGTGTATACATGTTACATATATATATATATATATATGTACATGCATACAGGCATACATACATACATAAAAGAGCTTGCTGCATGCCTACCCGCTGACAACTTGAGACTCGGCAAAGACAGACAGGATGCTGCTGGCATGGGAACTCTGGTGCTTGCGGCCTCGAGGGCACAGCGATGGAAGCAGGCTTACTCTAGTTCCAACACGGTGTGGTACAAGGGGTTGTGGCTTCGTAGAGTAGGAAAATCGGGATGCCTTGCCTTGTCGCTGAAGAGATCAGACCGGGTTCATCAATCGTAATGTTCGTCGGAAGATGAACCCATTGAAATCTGTGGGGCACGTGGCTGAGATTGCACAAGAACGGCCACTTCACCGGTCACCCAAAGCCGTGGGGTCCTTGGGTTCTGCCGAAGCTTGAAAGCATCCATTCTGCCCACTGGACGGAGGCGGCGAGCCTGGCTTTGCACCACGTCACCTCGGATGAAGTGGGGCCACCCGCCTTTGTTTCGGGGTCTTAGGCCCAGGCTGACCGAACCAGGCGGCTCTACCCTCAATCATTACTATATATTACTGTAGTATCCTTAGGATTTTCTGTTTATTTGTGTTCTTACTATGGCTCTATCTTAGGGGCATAGATTAATCTCGAAGTCCAGTAGACTCTGGCCTCACCTCAACCGTTAATCGCTCAGGCCATCCTCATGTCGCGCCCAACCTCTTAAGATTGGGGTAAGCGAGGTTTTTCGCTTCCTCATAAGATCACCTACGAATATCACTGGCACCATGCACACTCTTCATGGAACGACGGAAGTTGCTTGACGCTGCGTGTCAGTCAAGACTGCTTTCTGCCACGATCGCGTTTTGTTGCTGCAAGCCCAGTCGCGCTGGCACGCCAGCCGTTGCCGCGGCTGCGGCAGCTTGTGAGGCCTTTAGTCGGAACGGCGGTTCATTGGGAAGGCTGTGGGCCATATATGTAGTTTCCATACTTGCGTGCCAGGGGGGCACTCCCTTGCATGTGATGTGCATCTGCTCTGCTCTGCTCCTGTTCGCAGGCAGAGGTGGCATCTTGGATGCATAAAGCATAAAGCGCCTGCAAGCCTTTCATGAAACTCTCCCGGTGAACCCCCGTGTCGAAACGTGAACCTGGGACGAAAGGGGACGCCCGGACAACAGAGAAGCCGTAATGGGGGCTTCGAAGAAGCAAGCGATGCTCAGCGTTGCCTTCTTATTCACAACATCACGGACCAACAAAGCAGCACACCCGCCTTTATGCCTTGATCCAAGAACAAGGCCGGGCAACAAAGAGGTCCGAGATGTAGAAAAGTCATGCCTCACGTTGCCGGGTTTTCAAGCAAGGTTGAAGTTCATGTTTCAGCATGCGACTGCAACTTGCGATCCTCATTGGAGACTTCCAGTGATGGTGTTGGATAATCCGCGGATCAAGATGCTTGGGTACGAAACAGGGAAGTCAAGTTCGACTGCTCAGCCTGTCTTCGTCCGCCGCAGCCCTCAGTGCTCAACTTCACTCTGAGCCCCTGGAAATCGGTGTCAACTTCTGGCGAGCTCAGGCGCCCAAGTTACTTCCTGAACTCCTGGCTGCAGCGCAGCATCTCTCAGAGCAATGAGGAGGCAGGGGTTCTGTATCGGAGATTGCGGGTTCATGATGCGAGGGTTCAGGGTTTAACATTTAAGGTTCTGTGAGTTCATTGTTTGGGATTTAGGGTTTAGGGATGGTCCCTTCGAGAAGTGAGTGCCTCACATAATACGGTGGTCCCAATGCCTGGAGCCAATGCTTCCATGCATGGATTCCTGTAGATTAAGCCTGATTCTGTAGCTGACATGCGTTGCACCTGAGGCGATGTAGACATCCAGGACGCCATCCTGTTGTCATATCTCCACACCTTTGCCCTTTTGTTCAAGCCATGTCACGCCCCACACAAACCTGAGCCGTGCACAGACAGCCTGACAGGCCGCCGCTGGCAGAGAAAATCGTCGTTGACTGCTGCTTCACGTTGGACGCGATCGACCGCCCTCCTGAAGCGTGTGGAAAACTTGCCTATCGTTTTTTCGCCATGGTAAATCGTGGCACCATCTGCTTGAAGCCAACAAGTCTTTGGATCGGATTCTAGGCTGCCAGGCTCTGACGTATCTCCGGTCATGCTTGTCCATTCAGAGGGAAGGCGACGGAGTCTGAGCGTTTCAGGCTAGAGAAAGTATTTTGGCCCTCACTGAAAGTCCTTCCGCACCTGAAACCGAAAACACACAGCTAACGTAGACTTCGATGAAAGCCAAGTGTCACTGAGTACGCGACATAGCAGCCCGTGCCAGGTGCCAGCATTTGCAACCGCTTCTCTCGGGCCTTTCGACGACTCCCTCAGGTCCAGTTTTCAAAGGTTTGGGCTTGACCAGTGGTAATGAGAGTAATCATTAAGAAATACTCGTAGTAATAGTACTCGCAATAGTAACCCCATCAACAATCGTAACATGGGTTTTGAGTTTAGGGCTCTGGACTTGTAGGGGTCAACAGAAGTGCATAAATTCGGGGCTAATGTGCTCAATTGCTCAGGCTTGTCAGGCTTGTTGGAGCGAATCACCGGTAAGCCTACAGTAGGCTGTGAAGGCATCCCTTATTTTGCATTCCCTCCACAAACTGGTGTGCACCATGCAACAGGGCAGGCCTGCTGTGTGGAAATGAGAGTTGGGAGTGTTCAGCCCCAGGACAGTGGTCTGTGCAAAATGAAACTCCCAGTGTTGAGGTCATCGCATGTGACCCTGTCCTTCCTGACATTTAGCTTGTCATTCAGTGCACGGGTTGCGAAGGAACTTGGGCGTTGTCAAGCTTCCCCCGAAGCTGCAGCAGTGAGGGGATGCTGGACGCAGCAGTGCTCACGCCTCCGATGCTGCAATTAGGCTTCTGCCTTGTGTTTCATGCCTGTGCTGTGCGCCAGGGACTGCATCAGACCTTGATCCCCACTGTGTATCTCAAGACCACGGGAGCCATGCGTGCAAGCAACGAAGTCCAGGCTTGCTACTTCCTTTTTGGACCTGAAGAGCCTCCAAGATGCAATCCCTGTTTCCGCGAGCACCTGTACAAAAAGTGTGCAAGCTCCCGCTGCAGAAGGGCCTGCTATGGTCAGGTTCTCCAGCCATCTGTTCAATCGCCGCATGGGCTTGAAAATGTGCTTGCCTTCCAATGCTATGGTCACAATCGCTGCATGTGTTTCACGGTAGTTTAAAACCTTTTAGGATGCCAGTACTATGTTGCGATCGGGATAGTGTTGGCGTCGGTACAGTGGTGAGCATACAGAGTAGCTGGCTACCACACAGGAGTTTTAGCGAATGAGTGCCCCTGAACACATATGAGCCTAGTTAAGTGATCAGATCCTGAGTTTAAGGAGCCCTTGAAGCCACAGCCCCAAACATTGATACTCTGTTCGCAGTCCCCTCGCAGGCAGGTGGCGACGAATCCCGTGCAGATGCGTTTCTCCGCTTCATGGCGCAGACGGACAGGCGCCAGAGCTGGGGGTCTCGCAACAGTTAGAGGTGCTTCATGAACGAGCCCTCATAGTAAAGCCGGGTATTTAGGGGTTGCATTCGGGGTTCCCATGGTCCCAACTGTTCCCAAAGGCCCAGTCGTGGTAATAATATGGTGGCAGGCGGATTTTCGGACTTTATCCGTTTGCAATGATCAATGGCGAGGATACGTATTCTTTGATATCACGTTGTGTTGGAATTTCCTATGCTATTCTGTGTTATACTGTGTTATACTATACAGTATGTTGTACTATAGTACATTTTCGAATCACCTTACATGCATCATACTGCTTATTTGCTCTACCACCCCATCTTATCCTATCTCGTCCTAGCCTTCATTGCCTTCGCTGATCCCACTTTCGCTTATCTAATCTCATCTACTCTTGTCTCATCTTCTGTATGTCGTCTCATACTTTGCCATGCCACATCGCTTCAAGTTTGATCTTTCCCTGTCGTACGGTCTTATGCTATGTCGTGCAGTGCAGCGCTGCATTGTGCTATGCGAGGCCACAGTATTATACCTACATGTTTTGCATGCTTGCCTACTGCCTATATACTTGCGATATACGCATATTTGCAGATATGATAGCCCTGTTATTGCCCGCTGCCGAACACGGAGGTTGTTCACTTTTGGGTTGGGTTGGCCTGTAGAAAAAATCAGTACACAGGAGGTAGCGTGGTGCTGCAGGACTTGTCCATGTGTATCCCGTCCTTTGCGGGAGAGGTCTGCTCTCATCGGTCGGGCTCAACAAGTCACCAAAGCACCGTCGTGTTACTAATCTTTCACACGGCGTCGCAAGACCTTGCTCCCCGCCGCAAACCTTAAACCCTGGGGCCCCAAGCCCAAGACTCCCAAGTCTTTGACTGACGCTCCTTCGAGGTACAGCCGCTTAAATGGTGGCGGAGCTGGGGACCCGGTGCATTTCGGAATTGATTGGGCGAACTAGGCTTGTGCTACAGGGTTTAGGATTCAGTCACTAGTGTGATCTCCGGACACAAGTTTAGGGTGTAGGGCAAGACTTGGACCTGAGACTTCGCGGTTCGTGCAGAGAACCTGCCCGGGCCAAACGGTACTGTTTGCCTGGTGCTCCCTGTCATGCACACGATCCACAGCCCTAAACTCCCCCACTGCAAAACGCGAGTATACATGTACATTTTTTTGCAGAGAGAGAGAGAGAGAGAGAGAGAGAGAGAGACAGAGAGATAGTGACGTGAGTGTGTGTATATATAGATACATATATATATATATACGTGTATATATATATATATGTATACATACTCACATTTCTCACATTTGGGGCACAGGCTCCTGTTAGGCTGCAGCCCTTTGGCTTGCATTAATTGGGAAATGGTGAAACGAGAAGGCCGCAGAGGTCGTCGCAGGTGGAGATGACACAGTGGTCACCTCTGACACGCTTGCAGAGACCCCGCAGCGAGGAGACAGACTGGACACAGAGGTCCGCTGAAGACGGCACCAGGAGTAGGGCTGGTATGCGGAGCAAGGCAAGCTTCAGGAAGAAGCGAAGAAGGTCGGCTCCAAGGACGGCGCCCTCCAAGTCATCACGCAACGTCGAGATGCCCAAGTCAGGGCAGGACGGAGTTGAGAGAAGGTGGAGGCCGAGGAGATCAACCACAAACGCAACTTCCTCGAAAGGCCCCTCCATGAAAGAGGGTAGCTTGCCGATACGGAAGGCCTCCAGACACTCTGTGTGGGTGAACTCGATAAGGCCGGACTCCTTTCGGGAGACTACGCACCAAGGGGAGTCAGGGTGGACCCAGACAACCGTGTGATCAGGGGAAGACCGAAGAGGAGAGTCCAGGCAGATCGGGGCTGTGTCGATGACACTAAGCACACACTCCGCGTCCCTGTATGTACGGAAGACAGACTGGGCAGCGGTAGGATCCGGGACAAGCCATTGAACAATGTCGGCTTGACAGATCCACTCAGCACAGGTGATTAGACATTCAGGACCCCCAGACGAGCAAAGTGTCTCGAGCCATGCCTGAGCGGTCGCTCGTAGACGGTCTGTCGGTGCACACACACAAGAAAATGCAATGCGGAGGCGATCCCAAAGTACGGAATCCGACAAAAGTTCGACTGGCCCATCAAAGTCGAGGTGGAGTATGCAATCCCAAACCTCCGCAACCGGACAATCTTCTTGTGGGAAGACGAGGGTCTGAGCAAATTGTCGGATCGGCCCACTCCCTGGCAAGGCCGGGCACAGTCCGGCCATCCGGTCGTCAACTTTGCGGTGCCCTACCCCCGGTTCAAACTCACAAGCAAAGCCACTGGAGAGGAGCTTGTCTCTACATGACCGGGAATAGCGTAGGTGTCTGCAAAGTCTGACGTTGTTGCTGTATGTGCGGAGGCATGCTTGACACTGGAGTCCTGGGAGAATACCCCGACCCGTCATGCGTCGACCATGACACTTAAAGGCGTGGACGGACCACTTCTGCTTGGAAGGGAATGTGGTACGACACAAAGCACAGCAGTGGGCGGAGTCAAGGCGATCCTGTGTAACTCCATACAGGGATGCCCCATTTAGACGCAACTGTTGAACAAGAAGGGCGCAATGTTGTTGATGTGCCGCCTGCCAGGCCTCGGTCTGGACAGCTCTGGCCTGAGCCCGTCGAAGCAGGCTTTTCCAGCGACCTGGTGCCGACCCTATCATGGTCAACCACTCTGGCCAAACTTCGGTCCACCGACGTGTGTCCGTGGAGGACCGAGTAGTCTGCCACAACCAACTGAGGGATTCCCGAACTGATCCGAGCCATGCCTCCTCCCAATGGGCCAGCGCCCACAGCTGCTTGAGGCCGAGTCTAACGAACAGCAGCAGGTGTCTCAAGCGGTGCACATGAAGAAGCACATACATCGACGGGAGTCCCAGGAAGGCAAGTACCTGGTCACGACCTGCGTGCATGGCCTGATCAAAGTCCCAGTGTGGACGACACATATGGCAGGCCATCCGCTCGTAGGCTGCACTAAGTGCCGACTGAGCAGCAGGGCGTAGTGCAGGCCATGTTCCGGCACCGTGCAGTAAAACGGAAAGGATGAGGGAATTGAAGAGGGTAGCCTTGGCAGTCTTGGGTATGATCGGAGAGCCAAAGATCTGGCGTTTCCTCTTTTGGAAAGCCTCATGGGCCATCCCAACCCGAGAGCGTGTCTCTCGAGCAACGTCACCCGAGAAATGGATGACACCGCCCAAGTGGCGGTAGAAATGCACTACCCGAACACGGGCTTGTGGCCATAGACGGGAAGGAATCTCGACAGAAGGGTCCTTATCCCTGAAAAGGGCGGCTCTGCAGGCCTTGGATCCCTTTCCACAGGGCACGATAATTAATTCTGTCTTACCTCGAGCGAGGTTGGGTAACAACGCCCTTGAGAGGCAAGCATCGAGTAAAGCACCTGTGACGTACCTAGCCTTCGTTATGACAGCCTCAGCGGAGTCCGCCAGCATCATTAGAGCAAGGTCGTCCATCCAAGTGGCGTCCATGATGTCAATGGGGTGTGCCTCAGACGTCCGACTTGGGAAGATGTCACCCTGCATAGAGTCTCGAAAGGGCAAGTGGGTCAGGCAGCCCATGTCAACAAGGTCTCGCGAGAGTTCCCGTAGGACTCGGGAGAATAGGAAGGAAAAGATGACATCTGCACAATTGTCGCCCGGACGGCTCCCTATACCGGTCTGGACCAAGGAAGGTCCAGCTTTGAACCGAAACCATGTCGAGTTCAGCACTTCGCTCATGGCCTGAGAGAGCCAAGGGCTGGCCCCACTGTCCTCGAAAATGGACTTCTCGGAGAGGTGAAGGTGGAGCTCGTGCATGACCCCTGTGGGGAGACGAATGGTCTGTGCGACTTTGGCGATGGCCTCGTCGCAGAGTGGGGCTCCAGTCAGTAGGGGCCGGCACACTCTATAAAATGCTTCTTGAAGATCAAGAAAGAGGATGGCGAAGGACTGTTGTTTTGCTCTTGCGGAAGCAACAAAGAGCCGTACGGCGTGTGAAACGGCTGTCACAGGGCACGAAGGCAGGCCCCCAAGTTGCAGGGGGGATGTCACTGAGGAAAGAGGCCCTACACATCTGGAACGCAGGAGCCTGTGAAAGGCTTTCCCTGTCACAGCAGAGATGAGAATTCCTCTATGCGAGGCACACAGCGCGGGCGAGCCTTTGCCTTTCCAGGCCGCCTCAAGACTCCCGCCCTTGAACTGAACCGGCTCTGCTAGGCGCATGCTGGTCTTAAGGAGGAGGGGGTAAAGAACCTTAGAGGCCGTGGCTACGGCGAAGTGGAGGGCTTCTCCCGGTACACCATCAAGGCCCGCAGCTCGGCCTGTGGAAGTGTCCCGTAAGGCCGTTTCGAGCTCGATGCGGCTCGGGAGATCGGCCGCAGAGAACAAAAGAGAGTCAAGATCCCGGCTCGCCTGTATGTGCATGCAGCTCGCAGCGAGCTCCTGTGGGAGGATCTTGCAGCCGTCCTCAATGCCGGCAAAGTGTTGGATCCAAGTATCCTCGACTTCCTCGCTGGTGGCGGCCGGTACACCGGTGGAGGTGAGCACCAGAGGAAGTCCATTGTGTGTTCGGGCCTTCCTCTTGGGTGGCCCAAGCAAGGGTTTGAGGCGACGCACAGCCTCAGCCGTGGCGCAATGTTCCGCCTCAGTGGCGACGTCGGTGATCCTTTGCCGGACATCTCTACGGACAGCCTGTCTGAGGGCCTTTCGTGTCTGCCGTAGTTCCTGGGCAAAACTCGCAAGCCGACGCTGTCGACCCATGACAAGGAAGGCGCTGGAGAGCTCGCAGACCCTCAGGCGACATGCCAGGAAGGGTGCTCTGGTGTCCGGGGGGAGGAGATTCTCCCTGCATCGGAGTATCTGGCGACGTAGCCAGACGCGTCTTTGTCTGAGTTGCCAGGTATGCTCACTAAAATGGGAGGAGCGGCACTGCCCTCTTTGACTGGGGAATGCCCTGGGTAGTGCTGTCTGAAGATAGGCCTCCAGAGCCGCCCAGTGTCTGTGCACATTGGTTGACCAGGGGACGGTGGGTGCATGGCGCCAAACCTGTGCAAGAGTCTCCTGACCTTCTGCTGTGCCAATGGCTTCCCTGTCAACCCTAAACTTGGAAGGGCCCGGGATGATAGCTTTGACAAGTGACGACACATCGACCTGAGCCGCAAAGTGGTCAGTGTGCGCCTGTCCCCAGTCGAGTTCAGCTTGAATGCAGGATGCTCGTGGTCCCGCTACCCACGTACATGGTATGCCAACAAAGTCAATCCTGGAGCCGGATAACCCAGACGGGGAAATCCACGTGAGGGAGGGTCCATGATGAATGTCCGGGAAGGTCGAAGGGATCCACAGATCCTGTGTGTGCAATATCCGGTGGAGTCCTGACGGAACTGTGCCTGTCCCTGGCAGGACTAGGCTGCCAACTCGGCCCGGAATTTCAAGCGAAAAGTGGACATTATAGTCACCTAACAACACTACTTCATGGGCCTCACTGAAACGATGTAGCCTCTCATGGAGCGAGACCCACCACAAGTCACGCTGTGGATCACAGGTAGTGGGACCATGGACGCAGACAAACAAGATCTTGATTCCTCCTCTTGCGAATCTCACAATGAGCGTGCGGGGGTCCGCAAAGGTGACGATGAAATCTCCCGGCTGGAAGAAAGACTTAACGCCCCTGGAGGACAGGAAGGGGGACAGACGACTAAACCACAACTCTACACCGTGGTTGCCGGCAGTGTCCTTTCCAGAGCAGAATCTTATGTGCGACTTCGAAGTGATCGTGTCACTGGCCGAAGCCCGCGTTTCTTGGAGGGCGGCAACATGAACATTTAGCGCAACTAGCTGTTCGCGGAGGAAACCGGCTCGACCCTTAAACCCCTTATCCTCAGCCTCTGGGACTGAGGAATCAT